GCACTTCGACGAGGGGATCGTTCTGAAGTCGGACGCCGCGCAGAGCGCCAGCTTCGCGCTGAAGGCCCTGAAGGCGCGAACCCAGGCGGACAAGCTCCTCGGGGCGTTCTCAGGGCCGAAGTTCCGCTGGGACTTCGTCGAGCGCGCCAGGCTGGCAGGGCTCGAGGACGCCCGCCCGCGCCAGGTCCGCCACGGAGCCGCTGCCCACGACGCGCTCTTCAAGGTCAGGGAGTTCGGGGCGGCCCAGGAGCGGCTCAGGCACCCGAGCGAGTCCAGCACGCGGCGATGCCGCAGGGGGGGCCCGCTGCCTGGCCGAGCGCGAGAAGCTGCCGCCCGAGGTGAAGGCGTTCGGCGAGCAGGTCGACGCCGACCTCGCCGACCGCTTCTGCGGGCAGCTGCGCTGCCCGGCGCCACCAGGGCACAGGGCCTGACCGCCGCTGCCCGCGGCGCCGGCGTCTGGAAGGCTTGGGACATCCTCGGCGCCTCGACGAGATTCAGCCGGGACGCCATCCATAGAGCATGGTCTCAGGTTTTTTCGTCCGCCACCGCCGCTGCTCCCCGCAAAGGCCAGTTCATCTTAGACTTGTTCTCTGAAGTTCGGGGGTTCGCCCGCGGGCTTCGCAAGCGCGGTGGTTGGGGGGCTATCGAGGCCGACCTCAAAGCTGGCCCCGCTCTTTACCTCAACAATCCCGTGGTCGTGGATCTGATCGTCGGGTGGATCAGCAGCAAGCTGATCCGCGGAGTCTGGCTAGCCTTCCCTCGCTCCACGTGGAGCGTGGCTTCGCGATGGCGGCATCGAACCCGCTCCGACCTTTTTGGGCGACTTGATTTGGATTCCATCGGGCTCGAGAGGGACCTGGCTGGTAATCGCCCCCTCCTCGCCACGTGCCGGATTGTCGGCTCGTGCATCCGTGGCAGGGCCCCCGCGGTCGCTTAGAATCCCAGCAGCAGCTTAGCGTGGTTCATTCCTAACATGAAGAAGCTCGCCACTCACCCTGCTTGTCGAGCTTACGTTTTTGACTTTCGCCAAGTCAAGGCGCCCTGGAGAAAGCGCACATATATGTTGGCCTGGCACCTCCAACTTGCTCCTCCTCCTTTCCCTCGTCTTTGCTCCTCGTGCCAAGGGATGTATGATTTCTGTGGCGAGGCCCACGTCCACCTTTCTGACGCGATCCCGGGGTCGTCGCAAAAACGGACCTCCCGCGCTGAGCCCTACCCAACTGCAATGTGTACGGCTTGGGCTAAGTGGTTGTGGGCCTCCTCAGGGGCTATCGAGGCCAATCGTTTGAACGAAATTGCTGGGCATTGATTCCTTTTCTCTGCCCCCTGAAGTACCGATCCGGTGCCGTTGTAAAGCCTGTGGTCAGTCGATTGCTGCTCGAGGCCGAATCTTGTGCGCTGCCTTCCAATTCGCTGAGATCTCGGCTGTCTGTCAATTCCTACATATCGCGTTCTGGCCCCTCTGGGGAAAAAGGGGGCCCCGTGAGCCCCTAGAGGTAAGATGTAAGCGCGCCCTGCACAGCGATTTTCTGCGAAGGGCACTGATGTGCGCGCGTGAGCCATGGCGGCTGGATTGCGGCTCAAGTCTGCCTCCTTCGTCCCCTCAACCTCCCTTATGTTGCGGTGTTTCCGCCCGTTGTCAATCGAACGGTGCTGCTGTAAAGCCTGTGATCAGTCGATTGCTGTTCGAGGCCGAATCTTGTGCGTTGCCTTCCCAATTCGCTGAGCGAGTCCAACATATCGTGTTCTGGCTTCTCTGGGGAAGAAGGAGGCCCCGTGAGCTTCCAGAGGTAAGATGTAAGCGCGCCCTGCATCATCCTCTTCATCCTCCTCCTCCTCCTCCTCCTCCTCCTCCTCCCCCTCCTCCTCCGCCTGCGAGACAGCTTGGCTGTGGCCAAGCTGTCTCGCAGGCGCGCGCCTACCTGCACGCCCCGCTGAAGGCGGCCCACTCCTTGGTGCCAGGGTTGCGCCTGAGGGAGTGGATCGACGATCTCGCCGTCCGCATTTTTGGCACTGAGCACTCGCTCAGCGTGGCCTTTCCAGTGGTGCTGCGCGCCCTCTTTACGGGCCTGCGCAGGCTGCGATGCGAGTTTTCCCTAGGGAAGTGCGGCCTCATGGCCTCTTCTGCTGCCATCCGTGCCTTGCTGCCCGCGTGGGCGTCGGCGGCCGAGGTCGGGGCTGGTGGCCTCAGGACTGTTCGTGTTGCCCGCGACCTCGGCCACGACACAGCTTTCGGTGCCTCGCGCTCCGTGAAGGTGCGCAAGAAGCGTTTCATGATGGGCAGGCGCGCCGCTCTCAAGATTTCGGGACTGGTCAGATCCGCGCCGCGAGCCTCACGCCTTTTCGTCTCCAATGCCCTGCCGAAGTCGGTGTGGGCGCCCGAGGTGCACGGGCTGGCGCCGACCATGCTGAAGCAGCTCCGTGGTCAGGCGCGGCTCGCCAGCAAGTGTCCTCAGCGCGGCACGTGCGCTACTGTGGCCATTCGCATCAGTTTTGGGGCGCGGCGCGACCCGCCCATCTGGTACTTGCGGCACATTGTAGGAGCGTTCTACTTTCGAGTCCTTGGAGAGGATGGCCTCGCTGCGAAGGTTCAGCGAGGATGGGACGCGTCCCTGGAGCGGGTGGCGCGAGGCTGGAACCTCGTGCGCGGCCCGCTATCAGCTTTTCAGGCCTCTGTCATTTCAGCTGGCTGGCAGTGCCCGTCCTTGTCCAAGCTGGTTGAGCCAGACGGGCAGGAGTGGGAGCTCTTCGCCACCTCCGTCGCCCCTGTCACCAGCCTCCTTGCGGCTCTGGAGCAGACTGCTGAGAACGCGGTTTGGCGCCAGGCGGCCAAGCACCTTGACGGGGGTGGGGCGGAGGAGGGCGTTTGGTGGCAGCACGCGCCTGCACTGGCGGAACGGCTGGAGAAGGAGTCCCAGCACAGTCTTGCCAGCCTTGTTCGCCTTGTTGCATGCGGTGGCTACTGGACGGAGGAGCGTCGTTTCCAGGCTGGCTACCGCACGGACGACTTGTGCCAGCGCTGCCACCGCTCCTGTGAATCCAGCCGTCATCGTTTCTGGGAATGCATGTGCAATTTCATGGAGAGGGACTGGGCGCTCTCGGTCGGTGTGCCTCCCCCTCCTGAGGCCGTGGTCTCCTCCAACCACCTTCGCAGTCAGGCGTTGGAGGAGATCGACCGCTCCCCAGTCTTCTGGTGCCGCGGGCTTGTGCCCCTCGCCTGGCTGAACCTCCCGCCTCCCCCCGACGAGCGTGGTCATCGTTGGCTGCGCTGCGGCGTCGGGGCGCTGCCAGGGGGGATCTACGCTACCGACGGTGCAGGTGGAGCCTGGTCGTCTCAGCCCCTGCTACGCCGTGTGGCGTGGAGCTTTGCTCGCCTTGACGACGGCCAAGGTCTGGACTGGGATTCTGGCTGCACGGGCTTGGTGGACGGCCCTGTGCAAACGGTGCCCCGCGCTGAGCTCCTGGCCATTGTGGAATGCGTCAGGGCCGTCCACCCTGCTGCCGATTTCAAGCTGTATTCCGACCACGTGAATCACGTGAATGCGATAGCGCGCGGACGCCGCCACTGCTACAAGCTCGAGCACGCGGACCTCTGGCACGATCTTTTCTCGCTGCTTGACGCCCGCGAGGGCCGCTTCTCCCTCCTGCACGTGCCCTCGCATCTTGCTGAGGACCCCGCTAAGTTTGCGCGTCTCGGCCACTCTGTGCTGCCCGAGGCTATTTTTCTCAATGCGGTGGCCGACGGGCTCGCCGAGGAGCGGTCCGAGGAGGCTCAGCTTGATCCAGACGTTGCCCGTCGCGCTTTGGACCTGGTGGAGCAGGCCGAGGCCATCTTGCTCCGCAATGCCACTCTCTGTGCTGCCGCCGCCTCCGTCCCCAAGAGCCCTGGCCGTGAGGTTACCAAACCCAAGGTTTCTAGGGCTCAGAGGAGGGAGGAGCTGCTTTCGGGCTTTGCGGCTCGTTCCCAGCATGCCTTTGCGCCGACAGCTTTCGGCTGGTGCTGCAAGAGCTGTGGCCGATCGGTCAGGCGCTCTCAGAGCCGCGCCCTCCACCTTCTGCGTTCCTCTTGCGCGGCCCTGCGGCCGCCGCCAAGCCCGCCTCCCTGCCGCGTGGAGCTGCAGCAGCGAGGCCATCTGAGGGAGGGGGACGGGGCGGTCGAGGACGGGGGGGGGGACGGTGAGGAGCCTCTCGAGCCCGCGGTCGAGCCAGATGCGGACGCAGCTCCCGCGCTTCGGGTCTGCGTCAGGCTGCCGCGCTCGTACGCGGGGCTGCCGCCCATCGACGAGCAGCTTTTTCGGTCTCTGGGGATGCCTGATCCCCCCTCTCGCTTGCCTCCTGGCACGGGCATTGCTGGACATGTGCCGCATGCCTCTCACTGTTTGTGGCGCAAAGGCGCCATCACTTTCTGCAGCATATGCGGGCGCTACGCTGACTCCAGGCCCTCGCGACTTCTGGAGGAGTGCGAGGCGGCGAGGCACGGACCTTTCGCGCTGACCAAGGCGCAGCTCACTGCCCTGCTGCGGCTGCGCAAGGGCCTCCCTCCCAGGCCTGGGGTCCGCGAGTGGCCCTCGGCGGGTGTTTAGCCCGAAATTTTTGTCTGCCAGCCTGTCGCCCGGCCTTTTTGCTCTCGCGATTTGGGTGTGCGCCTGGCTGCCGCGCATTGCAAAAACTCCTCCTCTTCCTCCTCCTCCTCCTCCTCCTCCTCCTCCTCCTCCTCCTCCTCCTCCTCCTCCTCGGTTCTCCTCCTCCTCCTCCTTCTCCTCCTCCTTTTCCTCTTCCTCCTTCTCCTCCTTTTCCTCCTCCTCCTCCTCCTCCTCCTCCTCCTCCTCCTCCTCCTCCACCCCTGCTCATCGCCCCGCCTCGGACCGCGAGGATTCGCTGACGGGGGCGCATCGCCGATTTGTCGGCGATGCATCGCTTGTTCCAGATCGGTGCTTCTCCCCCCGAGCTGGCCGACCCCCGCCCCCGGCGCCCCTCCATTGAGAGGGCTATACACCGAGGCCACGCGGCGTCCGTCTCCTTCGGCGGCGCGGGCGCAGCGCAGGCGCGGCTGCTGCAGCATCTAGTCGCGGCCCCAGGCGCCGCCCGCCGGCTGGAGGCCGCAGGGGTTTGGGCGTCGTCGTCGTGGTCGAGGGAAGAGGCGCGATGGTCATGACCAAGATGTCGCGGGATCTTGTCGACGCCGATCTTGGTCATTGTCCATGGCGGCCGTCGCCGGTCCGCAATGATGACCCACGACTTGGCAATGCCCAAGATGGACGACGACCGAGGTCAGCACCGACGCTTTTGCGTTCAAAAATAAGTCATGGTCATCGCTTGTTTTTTGTCCAGCCGAAGGTTCAAGGGCCCACGTCTTGCAAAGATGGCGACGTCGGAGGCTTGGAGCAGGGGTTGAAGCCGTCAACCACCAGAGGGACCCTCCAGAGGTTCAGAGTCGGCGGTTCAGAGATGCGGCCCTGAGGTGCGGGAGCCTCGGGGCGAGAGGCTTGAAACAATGTAACTTCAACCTGGGGGCTCTTCATGTCATCTGAGCTCCATCCCCTGGGACCGCTTCTTTGATCCGCCGAGTCCCAGGATGGGTCGAGGGCTCCAGGCCCCAAGTCTTGCGACGCCGGGGTCCCGAGGGTTCCGTAGCCATTTTGGCTCAAGCCATTTTGGCTCAAGCCATTTGGCACAAGCCGGGTACCCGCTTTCCGCGCGCGCGCGCTGCTTGGGATGGCTCCTGGAGGCGCCCCAGCTCTTGCTGGTGGTGGGTCATGTGGTGATGAACAGCTCAGAGACAAAGCCTGGGCACGCCGCTCCGCTGCAGCCTTGTCGAGGCGCCTTCGCAGGGAACGTGCAGCAGGGCTCGATTGTGAAGTTGCAGCCCGCGCAGCTGAATAAGCTCTTCTCAGATCGCCGGTCCAGCCTGACGTCGAGGAGGAATTGCGGTCTCGAATGGTGTCATTGGGAAAGGCTCTTCTGCTTCACTGGCGGGCGGACGGGGCGCTTGGGGCTCACAACCACAGGCTTGGTGATGCTTTGCGTACCCTTCAAGTTCCGTAGCCATTTTGGCTCAAGTTCCCAACCCCTCTCGGGGGGTTGGGAGCTTGCCGTGGCCATCGGCTCGAGGGGAGCCGAGGGGCTGCGGGGCGCGGCGCGCCGGGGCGCGCCGGCGCATGCAGTGGCTGCCCGGGGGGTGCTGGGTGTGCCTCCCCCCCTCCCGGCGGGCTCCGGGTGGCAGCTGCTGGCCGGCGCCGGTCGCCCCCGCGCTTGGCGCGTGGGTCGATGCCGTGGGCGCCGTGGCAGGCGGCGGCGGGGCGGGCGCGGCCGAAGGGGAAGGCGAAGGCGCAGGCGCGGCCGGGCGGCCCGGCGGCGCCGCGCAGGCGGCCTTCCAGCGCTCCGCCTGCGCAGGGAGGCGGCACCGCGCAGGGCGGCGCAGCTGTCTCCTGCAAGGGTGCTGGCGACGCCGCCGAGGCGCCAGCGCCAACAGGACGGCACCTGGAGGTCCCCGAGCAGGACGAGCAGGACGGCCTCTGGGAGCGACCGCGGCGCACCTGCCGGCCGGCGCCGCGGCAGGAGCCTGCGGGGCGAGGCGCGCCCGGAGGCTCCCCCGGAGCTTGGGCGGCGCTCGCGGAGCCCGCCGCCGCAGCACCCGCGCGGGCGCGGCCGCTCGCCAGAGCCGAGGCCCCCGCGCCGGCGGAGGCGCCGCCAGGGGACAAGCGGGCGGGGCCGAAGCCGCACGCGCAGCCGCAGTCGCCGCCGCCGCAGCCCGCGCCGCGGCGCGCGGCACCGCCCCTACCACGCGCAGCCGGCGGACAGGCAGACCGGCCCCACTCCTGGCCCGCCGGAGGCCGGGCGCCCCTGCGAGCGGTCGCTCCGGGCGCGCGCGCCGGCCGCGGAGCGGGAGGCACCGCCGGAGCAGCCGGCGGCGGAGCCGGAGGAGCTGAGCAGCAGCTCCTACGAGTGCTCCTCCTCGGACGTCGACGCGGACGCGCCACTAGCAGCTGCAGGGGCAGCTGCTCCGGCAGCGACTCCGCCAGCGGCGGCAGCTGCGGGGGACGCCAGGGGCGCCGGCGGCGCCCTCGCCGCGCCGCCCGCGGCGCCTCCACCGGCTCCAGCGGAGGAGCGACGGGAACGGAGGCCCCGCCTGCCGGCGGCGCCGGCGGCGCAGCAGGCTCCGGCCCCCTTGGAAGGGCAACGGGTGGCGCCAGCGCCGAGCGGCTCCGCGGCGCCGGCGAAGCCTCCACCGGCTCCCGCCGCGGAAGGGCCACGGGAGAGCGCCCTGCCAGCGGCGCCGGCGACGCAGCTGGCTCCGGCCCCCCCGGGGCAACGGGCGGCGGGGCTGGGCGGCCCCGCGGCGGCGCCGTTGGCGCCTCCACCGGCCCCCGGGGGGCAACGGGAGCAGAGCGCGACAGACGCGCCCAGCGCGTACCTGGTGGCAGCCGCCCTCCGTCAGGCCAGCTGGGCTCGCTTCACGGCGACGGACCTGCCGGAGAACCGGGTGCTCCTCCTGCGCTGGGGCCCCTGAGCCCAGGCCGGGAGCTTCGAGGCGTCGCGGCAGTGGGGCTGGACAGGGGAGAGCACCCAATCGAGTCGGAGTACGGAGCCGACTGGGCGGTGCACACCCCTGACTCGCGGTCGGCTTGGGCCGACCTGCTCGAGGACGCAGCTGGCGGTGAGGGCTCCGAGGGCGGCCACGCGGTGGCGACGCCGCCCCGGGCCGCTAGGCGGGCAGGGCGCCGCGGCGAGCGGGCGGCCGACAGGATCCGCGCGGCGGTGAAGCCGCTCCCGGCCCTCCCTGCTACGGCAGGCCTGGGCGACGGTCTGGAGGCGGACGGATCGCCTCGCGCAGCCGCCCATGCCGGCGCGGCGGACGCGCCGGTCCCGGCCCCCTCGCCCGAGCGGGAGGGAGACTGGAGGCCGACGGCATCGGCAGGGACGAGTTCCTGCAGGCGCTGCGCTTTTACCTGGACAGCTCGGGCTGGGTGGCGGCGCGCGCGCTCGCGCCGGCGCTCCACGTGAAGCTCCGCGGATGTGGATTCCGCGAGGCGCGAGCCCGGATCCTGGAGGCGGGCGACGGCATCCCTGACGCGCGGGGGCGCCGGCGGGCAGCCGAGCGCGTCCTGGGTCGGCGCCTGGGGCGGGCCGGGGAGCCCTGAGCCCCGCGCGGCCGGCCAGGCCCGCCGGTCTCGCGGCTGGCGCTGCCTGTGCCCAGCCGGCTGAGCAGGGGCGAGCTCGGGGAGCTCGTGGGCCTGCGGACGCCCGGCGCTGAGAGCGGCACCCCGCAAAGCCGGGGTGCCAGGTGACGGCCGCGGCCGAGTCTGTCTGCGCTGCTTGCTGCTGCTGTTGCTTCTCGTCTTGTTATTCCCCCCCTGCTGCTTTCCTCTCCTCTCCTAGGCCACGGGGCGCCCACTCGAGCTGGTAATTATCCCGGCAAAGCAACCTAACAGCGATGTGTAGAAGCATATATGAAAGCATTCCCCTTCAGATTCATATGAAAATCCAGTTGTAGAATTCTGCTGTTCTCGCAGTCGTAGTCGCATTCGCGATGACAGTCGCAGCGGCAACGGCAGTCGCAGTCACAGCCTCAACCTCAGCCTGCCTCAGCCTCAGCCTCAGCCTGCCTCAGCCTCAGCCTGCCTCAGCCTCAGCCTGCCTCAGCCTCAGCCTCAGCTTGCTTCAGCCTGAGCCTCAGTCTGCCTTCAGCCTCGGCCTCAGCCTCAGCCTGCCTCAGCCTCAGCCTGCATCAGCCTCAGCCTCAGCCTGCCTCAGCATCAGCCTGCCTCAGCCTCAGCCTCAGCCTGCCTCAGCCTCAGCCTCAGTCTGCTTCAGCCTCAGCCTCAGTCTGCCTTCAGCCTCGGCCTCAGCCTCAGCCTGCCTCAGCCTCAGCCTGCCTCGGCCGCAGCATCAGCCTGCTTCAGCATTCAAAATGTGGCCCAGAAGCGAATTTCTGGGAACTAGAAGAACACGAAGTGGCCTACAGTTGGCTCCGGGCATCCAAAATGTGGCCCGGGAATGAGTTCTGGGAACTTGAAGAGCACGAAGTGGCCTACAGTTGACTCCGGGCATCCAGAATGTGGCCCGGGAGTGTAGTTTTGGGAACTCGAAGAGCACGAAGTGGCCTACAGCTGGCTCCGGGCATCCAAAGTGTGGCCCGGGAATGGAGTTTTGGGAAGTCGAAGAGCACGAAGTGGCCTGCAGTTGGCTCCGGGCATTCAGAATGTGGCCCGGGAATGGAGTTCTGGGAGGTCGAAGAGCACGAAGTGTGTGATTGTTTGCGAAAAAACGAGTGCGGCGGCAGCCGCGGCGGCAGCCTGCCCGGGTCCCGCACAGACCCCCTCTGAGGAGTCATGATGTTCTCTTTTGAGACCACTAGAAACCTATCAGCAAGAGCTGTTAGGTAAATGATCCCGGCAAAGCAACCTAACAGCGATGTGTAGAAGCATATCTGAAAGCATGTCCCTTAAGATTCAGGTGAAAATCCAGTTGTAGAATTCTGCTGTTCTCGCGGTCGTAGTCGCATTCGCATGACAGTCGCAGCGGCAACGGCAGTCGCAGTCACAGCCTCAGCCTCAGCCTGCCTCAGCCTCAGCCTCAGCCTGCCTCAGCCTCAGCTTGCCTCAGCCTCAGCCTCAGCCTGCTTCAGCCTGAGCCTCAGTCTGCCTTCAGCCTCGGCCTCGGCCTCAGCCTGCCTCAGCCTCAGCCTGCATCAGCCTCAGCCTCAGCCTCAGCCTGCCTCAGCCTCAGTCTGCTTCAGCCTCAGCCTCAGCCTGCCCCAGCCTCAGCCTCAGTCTGCTTCAGCCTCAGCCTCAGTCTGCCTTCAGCCTCGGCCTCAGCCTCAGCCTGCCTCAGCCTCAGCCTGCCTCGGCCGCAGCATCAGCCTGCCTCAGCATTCAAAATGTGGCCCAGGAATGGAGTTTTGGGAACTAGAAGAACACGAAGTGGCCTACAGTTGGCTCCGGGCATTCCAAATCATGCCCAGGAATGGAATTCTGGGAACTTGAAGAACACGAAGTGGCCTACAGTTGGCTCCGGGCATCCAAAATGTGGCCCGGGAATGGAGTTCTGGGAAATCGAAGAGCACGAAATGGCCTACAGTTGGCTTCGGGCATCCAAAATGTGGGAACTTGAAGAACACGAAGTGGCCTACAGCTGGCTCCGGGCATCCAAAATGTGGCCCAGGAATGGAGTTCTGGGAGCACCAAGAGCGATTTTGCGAGGATGTCCCACGCGATTTCGGCTTCGGCGGCAGCCGCGGCGGCAGCCTGTCCGGGTCCCGCCCAGACCCCCCTGAGGAGTCATTTGCTGCTCTCTTTTGAGACCACTAGAAACCTATCAGCAAGAGCTGTTAGGTAAATTATCCCGGCAAAGCAACCTAACAGCGATGTGTAGAAGCATATCTGAAAGCATTCCCCTTAAGATTCACATGAAAATCAAGTTGTAGAATTCTACTGTTCTCGCAGTCGTAGTCGCATTCGCGATGACAGTCGCACCGGCAACGGCAGTCGCAGTCACAGCCTCAGCCTCAGCCTGCCTCAGCCTCAGCCTCAGCCTGCCTCAGCCTCAGCCTGCCTCAGCCTCAGCCTCAGCCTGCTTCAGCCTCAGCCTCAGTCTGCCTTCAGCCTCGGCCTCAGCCTCAGCCTGCCTCAGCCTGCATCAGCCTCAGCCTCAGCCTCAGCCTGCCTCAGCATCAGCCTGCCTCAGCCTCAGCCTGCCTCAGCCTCAGCCTCAGCCTGCTTCAGCCTCAGCCTCAGTCTGCCTTCAGCCTCGGCCTCAGCCTCAGCCTGCCTCAGCCTCAGCCTGCCTCGGCCGCAGCATCAGCCTGCCTCAGCATTCAAAATGTGGCCCAGGAATGGAGTTCTGGGAACTAGAAGAACACGAAGTGGCCTACAGTTGGCTCCGGGCATTCAAAATGTGGCCCGGGAATGGAGTTCTGGGAACTTGAAGAGCACGAAGTGGCCTACAGTTGGCTCCGGGCATCCAAAATGTGGCCCGGGAATGGAGTTCTGGGAAGTCGAAGAGCACGAAGTGGCCTACAGTTGGCTCCGGGCATCCAAAATGTGGCCCGGGAATGGAGTTCTGGGAAGTCGAAGAGCACGAAGTGGCCTACAGTTGGCTCCGGGCATTCAGAATGTGGCCCGGGAATGGAGTTCTGGGAGGTCGAAGAGCACGAAGTGTGTGACTGTTTGCGAAAAACGAGTGCGGCGGCAGCCGCGGCGGCAGCCTGTCCGGGTCCCGCCCAGACCCCCCTGAGGAGTCATGATGCTCTCTTTTGAGACCACTAGAAACCTATCAGCAAGAGCTGTTAGGTAAAAAGCGCACCCTTCAAGTCGCCCTACAGCAGCAACCCATTCAAAAAGGTCAAGGTGCAAGGCGACGTGACTCGCCACGCACCCATGGCCGCTGCCGCTTCGGACCGTGGGTGCGTTCCTGCGGAGACATTCACCTTCAACCCCAACGCGCCCGCGGTTGAGCCTGAGGCCACTTCTCATTGGGAGCCGATCGGCCCGTACTCAGAGTCCTTCGTGATCTACCCCTCAGGACTCGCGTGCACGCGCGGGACTACGGTTTTCTCATATGCTCCTTGTTGGTCGCACGGCCGATGCAACAACGTACATGTCAGTTCAGGCGTTGAGGCCACTGCCAAGCCTTCTGTCTCGGAACTCGATTCCTACCAGAAGGAGGTCGACGCCCAGCTGGCAGCGTGGCGCACGATGGCACCATCTTCCAGACTTTTTCTGCGCCGCCTTGCCCGTGTGGACGGTGCGGCGGCCGAGGCTGACTATATGAAGACAGTATAGTCCCAGCTGACTGTTTGGCGGAGTGCGCTGCCGACCGCCAGACCTTTCGCACGCAAGCGGTTGTCCCTGGATTCGTCATCGCAGGCACTTGCTGCTTACGCTGCTGGTATCGACCCCGTACTTTGTGATTACCGTCGCACACCTTGCGACGCTGTTCCTGATTCTGAATCCCAGCGCCTTCCGTTTAAGTTTGCTCCGAACAGTTTCCGCCTTCCCGATTGCTATACCGATGGAGATCCTTGGAGGGAGTACCTTCGGCAGCGGTAGAAGCGGTAGATGCCTTAGACGGGAGTAGGGTGGAGTGATTGAGAGAGGAGCAGGAGTGTTTTCGATGTTGCATAGCTGTGCCGCCTTGTTCTCATCGGTTGTAGATTGCCAGTCGCTGCTCGTTCTTATCAGGTGCAGGCGGTGCAGGATTTGATTTGATGTTTCACAGCGCCGCTGTGCTATCATTGTCTGTAGTTGAGCCTGCACTCTGCTTTCGGTCCCTCGGCGTTTCGGTTCCCCTTTTCTTCGGTCGTGTCCCTCCGCTCGTTTGTCTGTGGTTCCTGGGGCCCTTCCCTCTTTCTCTTACGGCCCTTTTGGGCCCCTTCCGTCCCGCGTCGGCTACGTGCTTTTCTTGTTCCGGCGATAGCCCAAGGATATAGAACAAGGGTCCCGAGGGCAGGGACTGAAAACGGGAACGACCAGGCAGATGTGTCCAATGCGTTTGTTCCTTTTTGGGAAGGTTTCACGGCCGGTGCCGCCGACCCTAACAAGGAATGACGACGACGACGACGACGACGACGACGACGACGGCAACGACGCTGACGTTCTTGAGCCTTTTCTTGGGTCTCTTTTAGGAATATATCGGGCTCCGTAGGGAGGCATCTTAGGGGATTGTTTTGGAAGCTCCGTGGCCGCATGGAGCCGCTTCGGAGCAGATCTGAGGCCCCTCGTTGCTCATCTCACGCCCGAAAACCGAAACATCGGCTGGTCTTCTGCCACAGTGGCTGCACAAGACAGGACGCCCCAGAGAGGGCTTCGCCTTGCGATGGACCTCGAGAGGCCGGCCACCCCCCCCTCAGCCAGCAGGGCCGAGGGGAAGCAAGGCGTCTCGGGTGGAACGCCCGCGGAGTTGGGCGGACGTGCAAGCTCCCCCCCCCTCGGGTGTTGCCAGAAGTGCCACAGGCCCAAGGTGCCCCCAGGATCCCAAGAAGGCCCCCACGGCCTCCAGAGCACCCTTCACAAATCCCAGAGGGCCCCAGGGACTCCGAGCTCGCACGCATAGCTGGGGGCACCTCGGGCCAGGGGTACCTTTGCGCAACCTCCGACTCCTCCCCCCGGCTCCCGAAGGCAGTGCATGACACAGGCCGATGTCCGATGCCCGATGTCGGAGTCGTGCGGAGTTCTGAGGGGCTGAGGCCTCACGCGCCTTGCCTAAACGGGCGCAGGCACTCGCGCTTCGCCGCATGAGCCTGACCGGCGCCTCGCTCGCTTGCTCGCCCCAGCCCCTGAGAGTGTCCGTGAAACAAAGGGGTCCTGATCGAAGAAGAGAAATCGGTACAAGCATAAATTGTCGGAGTTCCGCGCGGGTTTCGTTTATCGGCGTTGGACCTCATTGGCAGCGCCTCCGGCGCCGCCCCTGGCGCGCCCCGCGCGCTGGGGATGGGAGTACAGCGCGGATCCAAGAAAACCGCGAGGATCTCCACAAGTTTGCGATCATGCCCTTTTCCGTCCTCTACCGTAGGGCAAAGTGTCCTGGACGTTGGTCACCAGTTTCGGGCTCTCGGAGCCCTGCACGGCCGCCGGGGCCGTCGGAAAAGGACTCGGGACGAAGAGCTGGTCCTGGGGCGGGGCCCTGGGGTCCAGGACCCGTTTCCCGCAGGACCAGTTTGTTTCGTGCCAATGAACGTTTTGGGGGAATCGGTGCTTGTGGAGCGGGCTTGGCCGGCTGAAGCAAGTCCAATCAGAGCCAAAGGGTTGAACTTGGTGGGCCTCCCATTGGACCTAGTTTCCTTCTCGGGCGACGCTAAGTGTCGTCGTCTTGTCCGAGGGGCAGGAGGGTCGGCGCCTTCGAGTGTGCATGATCCTCGTCGGCCCTGGGGGCCCCTGGAGGCCTCCAGAGACCTTTGGAACCCTCTGGGAACCTGCAGAGACCTCGAGGCTTCCGGGGATCTTTGGATCTTTCTGGGAACTTCTGGAGACTTCCAGAGGATGAAGAAGACCAGCATCAGAAACAGGGAAGAGAGGAGGATGTGTTGGGATGCCATTGGTGGCTTCTGGAGGGTACGGGGCCTTCCACAGGGTGTTGGCCGTTCTTGGCGGTGTTGATTGGCTCCTGTGTTCTTCGTTGATTACTTGCAGGCTCTGAGGCTGGAGGTTGTCGTAGTGGTCCGAAAAGTTCTGGCGGGATCTCATAGGTTTCTGGATTGATCTGCAGCTGCAGGTATAAGATACGTCCGGGGGAGGAGGGCAAGAGGCAGGAGGAGAGGGGGAAATAGGGGAGCGAGGAAGAATGTAGCAGGAAAGAGGGAGAAGGAATGAGGAAGGAGAAGTAAGGGAGGACGAGGGAGGAAGACAGGAAGAGGAACGAGGAGGAGGGAGGGACGAGGAAGGAGGGAGGAGGGAAGAGGGACGAGATAAGACGAGAGAAGAAACACGGTAAGAGAGAAGAGAGAAGAGAGAAGAGAGAGAGAGGATATCACAATGTATAATAGAGAGGAGGAGCACTTGGTGGGTGTGCCTGGTGGGTGAGCCAGGGTTTCGCTTGGTGCCAGGGTTGGTGGCCGCCCGTGGGCGCCTCGTATGCGCCCCGTGCGTTGGGTGCACCACACAGCTCAAACCGCACAGCTTACAGCTCGCATCACGTAGCGTTCGTCACATAGCTTGCAACGCATGGCTGGTCAGTCTGCACCACAAGCTGGACTGCATCAAACCAAAAATGCACCGCATAGTTTGCACCACTTGGATGGCACCAAGTAGCCTGCATCACACAGCGTGCAATATTATAGTTGCGCCATGCACAGAACGCATGACACTACTTGTAACGCATGTAATTGCACATCGATGGTGCGAGAGCCTACTGTTGGGTATCCACGCTGGCTAACATGCCATCAGCGATCAGACGATCAGACAACACACGCACTGACCAACGGACCGCAAGCCGCTGCGCGGTCAGAAGCTTTTGCCCTGGCCGACGCGCCTGGAGATAGCCCGCGCCGCAGGCGGCGCATATTCTCCTCCTCCGTTCCTGGAGATCCTGGGAGGGGAGGACAGAGGGGGGCGGTCAAGGACTGCACGGTCCTGTTGATGGCCAGGAGAAGAAGGAGGAGGAAGAGGAGGGAGGGAAGGAGGGAGGGAGGTACGGAAGGAGGAGGAGCAGGAGGAGGAGGAGGAGGAGGAGGAGAAACGACAACGACGACGACGACGACGAAGGCGAGGGGGAGGAGGGGGAGGGGGAGGGACAGGAGGAGGAGGAGGAGGAGGAGGAGGAGGAGGAAGAGAAGGAGGAGTATTCTGCTGGATTCTGCTGGCCTGACCTCCGAAGCGGTGATGCACGCCGTGCGGCGGCGATGAAAGCTTCTCCCAGGCCGTCCCTGGGCGACAGGGTTCGGTTTTGCTCAGAAATTGTAGCTGATGCCGCGCAGTCCATCTCTTCCCATACCGTTTCTCTCACGCGGCGGCGAGTGCCCAGCCGTGCGACGAGGAGCGACGAGGGGGGGAATGGCACCCCAAGATGGTTGGCCCATCTGTCGAGCCACGTCCTTCGGCAGCATAGCCCTCTGCAGCGGCTTGCTGCGCGACCTGGCGCGCGCCGCCGCCTGCTGCCCTCCGTAGGAAAACTTGCCATTTCGCACAAACCGACCCCAGCGTTGTAGCTGATGGCGTTCTCACGTGCACTTGCTTCTGCGCGCAGCGCCAATCTCGTTGTCACTGCTTGATCTTCTCGCAGTGCCAGCTCCCGCCGCCACTGCCCGGCCTCGCACGAGCTGACCCCAGCAGCATTGTAATTGATGAGGTGTTCTTGTTGCGCCGGGGAGCACCGACGACCACAGCTGCCACTGCCTGCTTTCTCGCACCGGCAGGCGCTGCTGCCACCGCTTGCCTTCTCGCACTGCCAGTCCTTGCTGCCATTGCTCCCTCGCACGAGCTGGCCCCAGCAGTTTTGTAGCTGATGACGTGCTCTTGCCCCGCAATTTGGCACCGACAACGTTTGCTGCCACTGCCTGCCTTCTCACACCGACCGCCCCTGCAACCACTGCTTGCCTTTCCGCACGAGCTAACCTCCGATACAAACGATATGACGCTGAGGTTGGTGCTCCTGCTGGACATTGGCACCAACAGCCGCAGCTGACATTGCCCGATTTCTCGCGCCGACAGACCATGCTGCCACTGCCTGCCTTCTCGCACGAGCTGACCGCCGCTGCACTGTAGCTGAAGATGTTGCTCCTGCTGGCAATTTGGCACCGACAACTATTGCTGTCACTGCCTGCCTTCTTGCACCGAGTGGCCTTGCTGTCAACGCGTGCCTTCTCGCACAAGCTGCCCCCAGCCAACATGTAGCTGAAGATGTTGCTCCTGCTGGCCATGTGGTGCATGCTGCCACTGCTTGCCTTCTCGCACGAGCAGATCCCCGCTGCAATGTAGCTGAAGATGTTGCTCCTGCGTGGTTAGTGTTTCGCATTTTCGCGTTCACAGTCCCTGCTGCCACTGCCCGCCGTTTCGCACTGCTCGGTTGGGCGTCTTCCGCACGAGCTGGGCCCAGCACTGAACTGATGAAGTTGGCTCGCGTTCTCGCCGCACGGACCGCTCCCAGCAATGTAGCTGATGGCGCTGCTGGTCTGTGCTGGCCCATGCTCGCCGCACGCACCACTTCCAACATTTTAGTTGTTGAAATGCTGCTCCAGATTATTCATGCTTGTCTTCACTTTGGCAGCGGCGCCGCAACTGGCGCCACTGCTCGCCAAGAGGTGGAGGAGGGGCGGGAGGAGGGGAGAAACGAGGAGGTGACGGAGTGTGCCCTCGACCTTTCGACCTCCCAACCTCCACCTCCCAGCATCGACTTCCACCTTCCGACCTCCACCCCCCAGCATCCACTTCCACCTCCCAGCATCGACTTCCACCTCCACCTTCTGACTCCCAACCTCCACCTTCCGGCTCACAACCTCCACCTTTCGACTTCCATCGTCGGGCTTTCGACCCCCAACCTCATTCACATGCATTTCCGACAGGTTTTACGGTTCTTGGAAAGGATACGGACGTGGGCAAAGCTACCATTACCGCAAGCAGTTCGAGATCCACTCCAGTGCCGATTCTGGAAACGAAGCCAGCTACATGCACTAGACGTTATCCTACTTGCAATGGCACAGTACCTCTACAGGGATGTGCGGATCCACGCCTTCGTCATCCGCTTCTGGTTTCTCCGACTCTGGCCTCTCCGACGCCGGCGGCACTGGCACCCACAGCTTTCGACCTCCAGCTCCCGCCAGCTCAACACCCCGCCCTCAAGCCTCAAGGATCCGACTTTCCACCTCCAGCTCCACCTCGATTCCTCCACCCTCCACCTCACCAAACCGACCTCCAGCTCCAAGATTCTGACTCACAGTGTCCATTACCAACTATCGAATTCCAACCTTCCACCTCCAGCCTTCGACC